TCTCTCTCTCTCTCTCTCTCTCTCTCTCTCTCTCTCTCTCTCTCTCTCTCTCTCCCTGTCTTCCTCCCTCCCTCCCTCCCTCCTTCTACCCATCCATACAACTAGTGAAACTTGTGGGTTGACTACCAAGCTCCACTGTCACAGTGCGAAGAAGTCTGTAGACAGAGTAAGTTTCATGGTGTCATTGAAACTTTTGTATGAAACCAAGAAGCAGATCATACTTGAGCCATAGTCTCTCTGCCCTGATACAGGTTATAGCAGTCACCCTCGCTTTGTTTCTTGATCTTACTAAAGACACCTGGAATTTTTTTCCCTTTAAGTAAGTTGCTGCCTAAAGAGTAATACACTAATTACTACCACCATAACTGCCTCCACCATGTTATGAAATTATTTTTTTAAAAAAATTAGGAATGAGTAGTTTATCGAAGGCTTCGTTATTTCTATAAAGGATACTCAGGTATTTGTCCTTAGATATATAATATAGTATATTAATGGATTTACCAATAATGAGTCAAACATGACTGAAGCAAATATACTTGGGTTCACGGTTTGATCATTGATCAAACTGGTCATTGTTTCTTAATGTGAAATTCACTATGTTATTTAGTGCATTTATATCAGTCCTCAAAAATAATATTGATTTGTAACTTTATTTTTTATGGTACTTTCATATCAAAGTTATGTTGTGGAAGTCATACTTATTTAAAATAATTAAAAAATTTTCTTTACATTCTATTTCTAGTCAAATTCTTTTCCCCTTTTTCTTTTATTTTTTTTAATTTTTTTATTGATTTTTATTGAGCTCTACATTTTTCTGTTCTCCCCTACCTGCCTCTCCCCTCCCCTCTTCAACCCTCTCCCAAAGTCCCCATGCTCCCAATTTACTCAGGAGATCTTGTCTTCTTCTACTTCCCATGTAGATTATATCTATGCAAGTCTCTCTCAGTGTCCTCATTGTTGTCTAAGTTCTCTAGGATTGTGGTTTGTGGCTGATTTAACCCCCAAATGTGCCCAAGTTGAATAATTTTTAAGGTAAACTGTTAGCCTCTGCACTTTTCTGTGAATACCCAAACCTCAAAACAGGCGCACACTTTTCTGACTCAAGTCCACGAGAATGGACGACTGCCCTAAGGGTTTAAACACACAGACACAAAGAGACCTGCTCATTCACCAAAGAGCAAATGGCAACTTTATTAAACTTAAGTCGGGTATATATAGAAGTGGGCAACAGGGGCAAAAGGGCATGGCCCCCTCCCATCAGGAGGAGTGGAAGAAGATGACAGGTGCCTGGCGCCTCAGGCCAGAAGCTGCTGGGGGGAGGCAGGTGTGGCAGGCGTATAGGGCCTGCGGCTGGAACCTTGTTCACAGGTGGAATTACCATAACAAAAGAGAGCCAAGTTCTTTCTAAGCTATACCCTCAGGCCAGTGCAGAGCAGAGAGGCCAGGGAGCCAGAGGTCAAACAGCCCTACAAATCGCCACAAAGAAAAGGGAAAAAGACCTGGGTACCTACAGTAAACCAGACTTTTAAGGAATACATTGCTCTTGTCATAAATAAATAGGTCAAGATGATGGGGAAGGATCTGGATTGAATTTTTTTTTTGCTAGACACCAAAATTATGAGAAACTGTGTACACAAATTCTTAGAAAAGCTGAAAATTTTTCAGAATAGTATACAGAAAGCCAAACAATGAAGAGAAAGGTCTCCCTTTTGCTTCCTCTCGGGATGATGCCTCATTATGTCAGTCTGATGATGTTTTATTTCATTAAACATGTATACTGTATCCCCAGGAGAGAGATCTAAGTCTTTAAACTCACAAACATGGCCAACTTCCTTGGTCTCCTGTTAATGGGGAACTGTTACAAAAAAAGTGATAGAAAGTTGATGTCAGTGCTTCTAGAGGTCATATGAAACAAGAGAAATGTTGGGTAATTATTCAGAACTAACCATCTCTTGTTCTTTTCATTTTGGGTGAGCCAACTTGGTTTTATTTATTGTTTTTCTTTCTTAGTCTCTCAATGGCTTTGCTCTAGTGGTGAGTGCAGAAGGGATGATCTTTTATGCTTCAGCAACAATTGTGGACTATCTGGGCTTCCATCAGGTAAGTGAAGCAAAAATAACCTTTTGATATATTAAATGTTGGATTCCATTACCTTTGTAAATGTGTATTGTCCTCAAAGCTTAAGGTTGTTTAAGATCAAGCTTTTGATATCACATGACTCAGCTTTGTCTTGGACAGAATGTCAGCTTCTGTGGAGTATTGTGGTGCTTGGAGACCCAGGGACTTGGGCTGAGCCCCTACTCTCAGCCCTCATATTCAGAGCACCATCTTGTCTGATAACCCTCTGACCCTATACACCTTCAACAGCTCTCAAATTGTGTTACTAATATTTTTATGCACTGAAGAAATTTTCTTTCTCTCTGTATCAGATGTTTGCCTCTGCTTCTGCCTTCAATAATGCCTTTTTAAACTCCTTGAATTTTTCTGTGGCCTCTCTAATATTTTTGTATCCACTCTGTAGCCTACACACACACACACACACACGAGAGAGAGAGAGAGAGATTTAGATATATATAATATATAAGTATTATATATGGTATAAGAAATAACCATATCATTTTAATTCTTGGAGACTATTAAAATTAATTTTAAATCAACATCATACATCACATAGTAAAACTTTTTCTCTTCTATCTATCCTTCTGTCTCTCTATATATCTATCTAAGTATATATATTTATACATATTTATATTATATATTATATATAATATTATATATAAAACGTTCATATATATTTATATTATGTATATAATATTATATATTGTATATATTATGTATATAATATTATATGTATATAATGTTATGTATTATATACATAATATATATAAATATATATACTTAGATAGATAGATATAGAGAGATAGAAGGATAGATAGAAGATAAAAAGATTTACTATGTGATGTATGATGTTGATTTAAAATTAATTTTAATAGTCTCCAAGAATTAAAATGATATGGCTATTTCTTATACCCACCTCATAGTTTAACTTACTGTCACCTGAGCTGGATTTGCTGTCTCTTCCACTGTCTTGTCTGCCCTTTGCTTTGGTTAACTGCAGACCCACAGCTCATGTTAACCTAGATATACTCATTCACTAACTAAGACATGTAGAAATGATAGATAAGAGTCTTGGGAGGCCCGGGGACACTGGAAACCACACTCTCCAGTAGATCTACAAAGCTCAGGGTCATCCAAAAACTGGGTAAAAAGAATGTGTGTGCTACAGCACCTACTTGCACTCTCAGTTTGAGAATCATGGGAGCCCACTGTGCCCAGGTCAGCAGTTTCTCTAGTTAAAACCACATAGGGAAATAGAACTGCCTGAAACATGGTAAAAAAAAAAAAGTTACGTTTTAAATTCCTGGTTAATGGGAATCTGCTGCTGCTGATGTCATAAGCCAATCAAACTGAATTAATAAATCCAGGTTTATTCTGAGCAAAACATTCCTGGGTGGCCCCAGGGGAAGTTGAGGAGACCACGAGGGGAATCCCACAAGGGATTTTAATGTTGAGAGTGGGCTTTCTCAGGGGCAGAGTACGTACTGTGGCAACTCCAGGGGAGGGGGTTTGGGGTGGAGCGTCCACAACAACAATAACAACAACAACAACAACAACTACTACTACTACTACTACTACTACTAAGGATGAATGCAGTCAATGACTTAAAGAACTTAAATTATGACTGGTCTGAATACATGGTGAGATAAACCATACACAAAAGACTCATTACCATCATGAAGATGTCAGCCTTCTCCACATCAGACTTATAATTAGTGGATTACAGTGGAAGTGGAGACCTTTTGGGCAAACACTGGCTCTCTAATTCTAGACTCTTCATTGACAGGCATGTGTCATTATAATAACATTCTTAGGAGAGGAAGGAGTTGCCAGATGGGATATTGCAAGTCAGGCAGACCCACAAATGGCACTGCTCAGACACAATTGGCCTGGACCTATGAAAACAACCATTCCTACAGTCATCCAAGTCAGAGAAAACCATATTATCTCCTAACTTATACCAGGGGGGAATGACAGACATTTCTAGAAATAGCATGGCAAAGATATGAGGGAAGAGTGGCTATGTTATAAAATGCCAACACATGAAGATGATTCTGCCACACAAAGACCAGTCTTACAGTTGTTATACTGGGCAGAAACATAGATTCCAAAGAATCCGGTATTCTTTTCATATGGGATTCAACTTGTGTGCGTAGTATAAATATAATTTAGGGGTGTCCCAACATCATGCTTCCTGAAATGGGGATTTTCTCTACTCAGGTCAACTTCTGCTATGCTTCAGTCAGTTCATTAGGGTGACTGAGATTGTGATGGCCAAACCTGTAGTCCCTGCCCTGTCAGGGCTGGAGGCAAGATCATGAGTTAGAGGACAGCCTGGGATAGCTAACCTGTTTTCGAGAGCCTCTCTTTTAAAAAAAGGAAGCAAATAAGCTAAAAGGACGTTGGTGTGTTCCTTTCTGCCTCAAAGAGATTTCTGTGCCTCAGTCCCACAATTGCCTCCAGAGCCCTGACCCCAGACATCACTAATCAGACAGCGGTTGTATCTGACTACTCTGCCTTATCTCTGGGCTGCATACGAACATTCCTTTGTAAAAATGTTCCCTCTAGATTGATGGTGCCTGCCACTGAGTCCATGCATATTTATGACTACACACTTCTGCCACCTCCCAGAGGTATCTTATTTATCTGGGGTATCACAGAGCTTATCCACAAAGTTACAAGCAATGATAAGGATGTGTGGAAAACATGAAGAATTTCATGAACTCTAGGTGAGATTGCTAGTTACATTTTAGAAATGTAACAAGTTCCCAAGGTCTTGATTACTAGGGAACTTTTGCCCATCTGAGAAGAGTATTCTAGTTATCATAATCATCTATTTGGAAAGGATGAAACCTAAAAATAGGTCTAATATGAGAATCCAGTCCAATAGAGATGCTGCAGGACCTGATGGCATTGGTAGGCTGGGTTCCCAGTAGAAAGAATAAGCCAGATTCTTCATTATGAGAATGGTGAGGGTCATAGGAGACCTCTCCAAGATCATGGGTTATCTGTACATGACATAATCAAAATGAGGCCAAAGTTTCTGCTCTGTCCAACAGACAGCTACCAGAGGACTCCAGTACCTGAAAAATTTGGCTTTTTCTTTAAGGAGGTTAGAGGAAAGAGTACCAGAGAGAGGGCTAAGATGTGGTGGGTCCTAGGCACATCATGGACCTGAGTAGGTTGAAGTATATGACACAATTGGCATGAAGTATAAGAGTTGATTTAGGAAAGAGGACTATGCTGACTAAGTGCCTGTGGTTTTGAGGACATGATGATACCACCATGCAGGCCAGATCCTGGGGCGGGTCACAGAGTGAAGATGCCCTGGGATTACATGAGCATGGAGACATATTCTTCCAGGGAGGGCTGTTAGAACCTCAAAAAGGTCTGTCTTTTTCTCAAAGTTTTTTATTTACATATGTGACTTGTCTTTGAATTATTGGTGTGGGGATCATGTGAATCACCAGAACCTGTAAATTTAGGATGAGGCTAAAGCAATTGCTTCTGTATTTCAGACAGACGTGATGCACCAAAACATTTATGATTACATCCATGTGGATGACCGACAAGACTTCTGTAGACAGCTACATTGGGCCATGGACCCTCCACAGGTGATGTTTGGACAGTCCCCACATGCTGACACAGGTAGGCCACTTTCAATGACAATCACGCTTTCCTCTATATCTACATGGAATTTCCTTCAGAATTCTTTCTCTTGAGCTTTCCTCTCCAGACTCCTTCAGCAATCAGTTGGTCTATCCTAGGCTCTATGTGGCTACTGAGGGCCTTTGCATCATTGCGCTTGGTCCAGTCTCCTCTGCTCTTCACTATGACAGATACTTGAGATACTCAGCTCATAGAGAGAAAAAGGTTATGTATTCTGTTTCATAGTTTGGAAGGGTTCAGTCCATTAACTGCGGATCCTTTGTTTTTAGGCATTTGGGAAGGAGTAGCACATTATACTATGAGTGTCTGGCAAAATCCTTATCTGGCATCCAACTCAGAGAGGAAAAAGAAGGGAATTGGATCCATATTAATTACTTTAGCTGTTGTTGTAACAAAATACTTGACAAAAGCAGCTTAAGGAAGGGTTTATTTCTGTGCACTGTTGGAAGATATAGCCCACCATATCAGAAAAGCGTTGGCAGCAGGAGCATGAGGTGGCTGGTCACACTGCACCCACAGTTAGGAAACAGAGCTGGATGCTAGTATTCCCCAGGTCATGGGATGATGTCACCACATTTCAGGTGGGTCTTACCACCATAATTAATCCAATCTAGAAACTCCCTCATAGACGTTCCCAGAGGTTTGTTTCCTGAGCTGTTCGAGAGCATATCAAGTTGAGAATCAAGATTAATAATCACAGCTCTATCCCTTGTTATGTTAACACCAAAACATATCACTTTAAATTGTAACAGGGTTCCATAATACCTCTCAAGGACATGTCCCTAAAGCCCTGACACCTCTTACTGACTCTTATAAGTTCTATCACCATAGGCTGGAATACATGGACCTTTGGAAAATATCCAAGATCCAAACTCCAGGCTCTACCATATTTGGTATTTCCCCCTAAGAGCCTAAGGGGCTCACTTGTTTCACAAGCTCTCTCAAGCCCCTTATCTGCTTTGGACCTATTCACATTTAACTAAAAAACATAAGCTTCCACAGTAATAGTTATCCTTTGTGCACTAGAACCCTATAAATCACTCCCCAACAAATACATTGAACCCAATTGATAAATATGAGCTGTAAATAGAATATTTTCATAAGTAGTGGGTAACAATGGGTTTGGAGGAGATAGATGCATGTAGGTCCTGGACTTCATCCAGGAGTTCATTCAGATGATGGTTTCCTACAGAAACTTTAAATAATTCAAAGAAAAAATTCCACCCAACCTCAAAATCCAACAGAATAATTCACCTTAGACCTAAGGTGCTTTTGCGTCATACAATTTATACAGTTCAAACAACACTAAGTAGCTGACCTTAGTCACACATGAATCAGTGGTAAAAACCAACATCATTAAGGGTAGGGCCAATGAAAGCAAAATCAGTCAAAGCACTATCTCTTGGAGACATACAGGATGGCAAAAGCTTGGGGAACCATGGAGACATGTTCATTTTAAACAGAGTAACATGTTTCTTACAAGCTTCATCGCAGTCAGTTACATGTTCTCCCATGTGCTTATTCACTATCTTCAAAGCTCCAGTCTTCTGTTTCCTGTCCTAATCATCATATTTGATTTCGCATTATTTGAATTATCTTATCAGACAATACCATCCTTGGGAAGTTGCTCAGGGCCCAGGAACAGGGCAAGGGCTTGCCCTCAGAGTACTCAGCCTTCTTGACACGCTGCTTCATCTGCCGTGTTCGCTGTTTATTGGACAGCACCTCTGGCTTTCTGGTGAGTGTGTGAATGCCTCAGACATGTGGGGTATGTTCTACTCTGGTGAAGAAAGGTGGGGGACAGAGTGAGTACTATGTAGAGGCTTCAAGCAAGAAGCCAACAGAGCTGGGCCTTGACAGCACACACTGATAGGTAGATGGGGAGGAAATAAGATAAAGTCCTAAGGAATTATAAGAAAAGCAGAGGAAATACTTAAAAATCATCGATAATTTTCAATTCAAGTTTAGGTGTACATTTATTTAAAGCTAATTTTAAAAGTCTTTTCTAGGGCTGGAGATACAGTAAATAAGTAAGGTACTTCTTGCACACACACAACATCCAGGATTTGATTCCCAATACCACATAAACTCTATACGGTGGCTCACACTTAAAATTCCAGCAGTTGGGAGAGACCACTGTGGGTCCAGGCGTGATTATGGGACCTCCGAGGGAGTAGACCCAAGCCAGAGACCTCTGTGGGCCCAGGCCAGGAACATCTATGAAAACAGGCCTGAACCAGTGACCTTCACCAAGCAGCCTAAGGGAGTGAACACCACAGGACCAGGTACAAGGGAGCCACTGCTGACTGAGCAGGCCCAAACCAGAGACCTCTGCTGGACTGGGCATGAATCAGTGACCTCTGAGGTAGCAGGCCTGAGCCAGCAAACTTCACTGAAGCAGGCCCAAGGCAGCAATCACAGCAGAAACAGACCCAAGCAAGCAATCTCTGTGGGAGCAGGCCCAGATGACCCTGGGTATTTCAGAGCTACCCATAGGAATGATGGGTAACCTCCAGGAACACGGAGTGACCAATGGGGGTGACTGGAACCATGGTGCTGAGATTCCATCTTAAACATGATGGCCAAGATCAAAAACACCGATGACAGCTCATGCTGGAAAGGATGTGGGGTAAAGGGAACACTCCTCCATTGCTAGTGGGAGTACAAATGGTACAGTCCTTTTGGATATCAGTATGGCAATTTCCCAGAAAATTAGAAAATAACCTACCTCAAGATCTAGCAATACCACCTTCGAGTATATACCCAAAGAATGCTCAGTCCACAAAGACATGTACTCAACTATGTTCATAGCAGCATTGTTTGTCATAGCCAGAACCTAGAAACAACCTAAATGCCTCTCGACTGTGATACATTTACACAATGGAGTACTACACAGCAGAAAAAATAATGACATCTTGAGATTTGCAGGCAAGTAGATGATCTAGAAAACATCATTTTGAGAGAGGTAACTCAGACCCAGAAAGACAAACATCATATGTACTCGCTCATAAGTAGTTTTTAGACATAAAGCAAAGAAAACCAGTCTAAAATTCACAATCCCAGAGAACCTAGACAACAATGAGGACCCAAAGAGAGATGTACATGGATCTAATCTACATGGGAAGTAGAAAAAGACAAGATCTCCTGAGTAAATTGGGAGCATGGGGACCTTGGGAGAGGATAGAGAGGGAGGGGAGAGTAAGGTAAGGGAGCAGAGAAAAATGTATAGCTCAATAAAATCAATATGCAAAATATAAAATAAAAAATCCAGCAGTAGGAAGATGGGAGTAGGGGGATCAGAAGTTCAATTATCCCCAGCTATATAGCAAGTACAAGGCCAGCCTGGAGTACATGAGACCCTGTTAAGAAAGAAAAAAAGAAAGGAAAGAAAGAAAGAAAGGAAGGAAGAAAGGAAAGAAAGAAAGATTAAAAGTAGGGTTGATAAGATTACTCAGTGGGTAAATGTGTTTGACTTACCTGACCACCTAAGTTTGATCACTAGGACCCATATAGTGGAAGGGAGGAGCCAACTCTTGGAAATTGTCTTCTGATCTGCACATATGCACCATGGCATAGCTGAGTCCACAGTTTTGGTTGCAGCCCTTTCCCCTGACACACACACACAACATTTAGGCTTCTGTCATTTTAAATGTAATATTTTTTTATTTTTATTAGTATATTTCTATATTTTATTATTTTACGTGAGAGTGTTTTGCCTGCATATATGTATGTACCTTGTGCATGCTTCATGTCCATGGTAATCATAAGAGGGTACCAAATCCTTTGGAATTGGAGATACAGATGGTTTTGAACCCATATCGGTGCTGGGAATTGAACCCAGGTCCTCTGCAACAGCAATATGTGCTCTTAACACTGAGCCATCTCTCCAGCTCTGGGTTTCCACATTTGACCATTTCTTCTTCCACCTCCATATGAAAAGAAGAGGAGGTTATCCTCCTTGAACTTAGCAGAGCAAGGACTTTGGATCCTGCCCACCTTGCCAGGCCACACTGCATTTGCCCTTTCAGAACTGTGTCCCCTGGTTCATTCCTGTATCCTCCCTCTCCAATGGGTCACAACTGTCTGACAGCCCCTGGACACCCTACATTGTCTTGGCAGGTATTCAACTCTGAGTCCTTGGACTGACCTCAGCTCCTAGTGGTAAGCTTCCTGGTGTACTCAGCTTCCTAGATTGATTTGTGGATCTAGGACCATAAGATTCAGTGATCACTGCATATTGTTTTTCTGGTCCTCCCAGAACAAGCTGGGCATATATGCCCCATATATCTATCCTGAACAAAGGTTCCTGAGAGATTCTTATCTACACAGCCTAGATTAAGGGTCATGGGGAGGTCCCATCTTCTTCAACTGGTCTGGGTTTCCGAGAGAAGGAGCTATCTCCCTCACCTGGACTATGGAGCCCCAGAAGTCAGAAGTCAGTAGCTGAGGGCTGCAGATAGAGCACCCACCAAAGTCTGGACTGATAATTCCTAACAGGCTTACTACACACCTGGGAAAGACCCCTAAGGAAATCTGTATGAGGTCTGCCTAGAGTTTCAGTATACCCTTTTGTTCTATCACAATCTGTGACCAGCTTCACCCAGCTCTGTATCCATGGCTCTGTGAGCTACCCCCATGTTTCAAGAAACTGCTTGTTCATCCCTGCTGCCTGGGTAGCTTAGCTCTGAAATAACCACACAGAAACTGTATTAATTAAATCACTGCTTGGCCCATTAGCTCTAGTTTCTTATTGGTTAATTCTTACATCTTAATTTAACCCATTTCTATTAATCTGTGTTATCGTCACGTGGCAGTGGCTTACTGGGTAAAATTCCCAGCATCTATCTCTGGCAGATCCATGACGTCTCTCTGACTCTTTCCTTCTCCCAGCGATTAGTTCTGTCTTCCCCGTCTACCTAAATTTGGCCCTATCAACAGGCCAAGGCAGTTTCTTTATTCATTTACCAATGAAAGCAACACATGGACAGAAGGACCTCCTACACCATTTTCCCTCTTCTGTTTAAACAAAAAGGAAGGCTTTAACATAGCAAAATTACATATAACAAAACAGTTATCAAACAAGAATTACAGTTATGTTCTGGTGCCAGGTGATGATATAAGTCACAAAACAATCCCACACCAGTTCAGAATTATAAATAATAAAAGAGTCATTTAAGGGAAAACTTACAGATCACTGTCCTATATAACAGTCCTCTGCACGAACAGGAACAGAGTCTAGCAGCCAGAACCAGGAGCTGGAAGCAAGAGAGTGGGCTCACAGTTACCACTGCTTTTATAGTAATAAGAGACCAGGCTCAAGTGGGCTGGTATCTTAAAGGCTATTGGTTGAGGGAGCAGAATGTGCTCCCACAGCACCCTCATGCTGACATTCCAGACATGGGACAGAAGATCTCAGCTAATGATACTAATGTAGGAATTGCCTTCCCTTCACCCACCAGGTACTCAGTTCCTTCCAGAAAATTCACAGGAAAGGGGGTCCATTCGCACTGATAGGACAGGGGCTTTTATTTTCATTAGCCTTTCTTTGTTCATTGGTCGGTTTTGTATTTTTCATAAACAATTGTTTTTAAAAATAAAGAAATTAATTATGTATAATGCCAACTCTGTACCTTCAGAAGAGTAGAGAGAGAAAATCAGAATGTCCCTTCACATAAGCTTCCAACATAATTGCCATTAAGGGCCATGACAACTTCTAGGCCCATAATCCATACCTGAGACTGTCCTTACCCGGTCCCTTTGGCCTAACCTTTCCAAACTGACTTCCCACTCTCCTTACTCTAAGTGAGGACACAGTGAAACTACCATCAAGACCACTGCTTGGGCGGAAAGAAAAATTCAAAGTATCAAGTCAGAGAGTCAAAGAAGTCTCTGACTCAGACTCTCAAGCCTCAGGGGTCAGAGAAAACAGCCAAAGGTGGAAAAAGCATTTCTGGTTTTACAGTGGGAAGGAGCCTGAAAATTTAGAGCAGTAGGGAGGAGGTTTGTAGGACAGAGGAGCCTGGACGCTTTGATATGAGTTGTAGGTATATATCAATAGTGACCTGTCTATGTTAATAGTGACCTGTCTTAGGGTTACCTTTGCTATAATGAAACACCATGACCAAGACCAAGATGGGAAGGAAAGGGTTTATTTGGCTTACACTTTCACGGTGTAGTCTGTCACTGAAGGAAGTCAGGACAGAAACTCAAACAAGGCCAATACTTGGAGACAGGAGCTGATGCAGAGGCCAGAGATTTTTACTGTAGAACCTAGGGTCACCAGCCCACAGGTGGTTCCATCCACAATGGGCTAAGCCCCTCTACATCAACTATCAGTTAAGAAAATGGCCCCCAGGTTTACATACAACCTTATGGAGTCATTTTCTCAATTGAGGCTCCCTCCTTTCTGATGACCCCAGCCTGTGTCAAGTTAGCATACAACTATGAAGGACAGGACTGAAAAACCCTGGAAATTGGAGTGGGGATTTTTTTGCTGTTGTTTTTTCAAGACAGGGATTCTCTGTAGCTTTGGAACCTGTCCTGGAACTAGCTCTTGTAGACCAGGCTGGCCTCGAACTCACAGAGATCCGCCTGTCTCTGCCTCCTGAGTGCTGGGATTAAAGGCATACGCCACCACCACCCAGCTTGAAGTGGGGATTTTGATATGTGATATAAGTATGGACTAGTAGGGAACTAGACGATCCATTGCTGTGGGGGCAGATAAGGACATAATGATTCTCCCTGATAGACAGAAATGTTGAGCGTAAGCTTCTGTTTATTGCTAGCAATGCTTCTGTTTACCTGGTCAGAGTCTAGCTTGAGCTGAACTCAGACTGTCATTTTGGGGGTTGGGACCTAACATTCACCTTAGATTGATTTTGCCCAGTGATGGTAGCAGAACATGGTGACAATTCATAGTTTATGGCAATACTTAACTCTTTGGCCACTTATCAGTGATACGGTAGCTGACTCCTGATCCCAGACTATAGTCTATTGATAATTTCTGCCTTTATCATTGGCTACAACAATGATAAATTGATCCTTAATAAGTATAGTTTTGGATCATGAGACCCAAGAGAACAGGAAAGAAAATACTGGAGAGACAACAGTAAACCAGCCTTCCTGGACTTCAGGTGTAGACCTAGCTTTCCATGACTCACCACAACATGCTGACCTGGCCCTAGGGCTCCATACAAAAGATTGCTGCCGTGATTCTGTCTATATCTGTTATCACTGTAAATGGAATCACTCTCTATGGACAAGCAATAGGTAATAAAAACTCTTGTTTAATAATGTTTCGTTCTAAAATCTAAGTGTGTCAAGGGACTTATAAATTCTATTCATAAGAGAGGATTTTACTGTATAATAGAACAGAGACAGACGGAATAAAACTGAAACAAGCACCAAATAGAGGAATTAGCTTAATTTCACAGTTGCAATAATAGCTACAAAAATAGATGTCTTCAGCAGCTTAAGTTACTGGCATAAGATCTACAGAGAATTGAGCCAGTCAAAATTGCAACGTGAATGGAAGAGGGGCTCATGAGGCTGCCACTCTGTGGTGAGGAACTATTGGCAAGTTGATGACTGCTAGGATAAAGAACGTCATTTTTCTTTGTGAGTGTAATCACTGCTAAGTGGCTCATGTTCCAGTGGATGACCCTACACTCATGTGTATATCATGTGCACATGGGAAGAACTAATTGGACTTAGCGGTTCTTTAAAGAATAAAAAGGATATGAAGGGAAGGAGACATATTGGGGAATGGGGGAGTTAACAGGGAGATTTAGGGTGGATATCATCAACATATGTTTTATATATGTATTAAATTTTCAAATAATAAATTAAAAAGATAGCTAAAAAAGAAATAATGTGGTTTATTCCTCAATTCAAATTTATCATCCCATACCAATTCACAAAGAACCACTATACTGGGTTAATTTAGGCACTTCACAGGCCCTTTTCACTCCATCCCAAAGTCTAGGCAGGGGTGGGGAGAGTCTGCCCAAGATCAATTGTTAGAATATTGGTATCTGATTGACCTTATATAAATAATTCTAAATCAGCCATAGTGGGAATATTTATATCAAAGAAACTGACAAACACTGCAAATCTAGAATTTTTTTTCCTTAGAGCTGGGCATTGAATGTTTTCCAGTACACCACTGCCTAAAATTTCTCACACCATGCATGTGATTAACACTAAGTGGATCCTTGCGATTATTTATTTATTCCACAACCCATGGATGTATTTAGGCATGGATGAGTGGATAGGGCATGGGTACATACTGCTAGGTCATCTGAAGGCAAGATAATCTTGAAGGAACTTGGGAATTAATTCAGTGATATAACAGCCTTCCCTATATAAAAAATATTTATTTTCTTTTATCACAAATGTCTAAGCTCTTTGCCGGCATCTAAACTCATACTGTATATTCTAGATTAATAAAAGCAAGCTATGCTCATCTTCTCATTAAAAGCAAGGAATATTAATTTGGAAATGGAAAGTTAAAGCTGGATCAGCTCTCAGGGAACTTTCCAGGGAGCTCCTGAAAAAGGTGACTGATGGCTGGGACAACTCAGGTAGATGTGTACTCATGTGTGCATGCATATACACACACCAGGGGGTGTCAACATGTGCGAGGGTGAGATAATGCTATCCATAAATGGTCTTGAGACTGCCAACCAAGGAACTACTTATAGCCCTTGGGCAGAGCTAGTGCCCAGGAGGCAGGTGTTTCCTAACGTCCTAGAATGATGGTATTGCTACAAAGTTACCTCCACGACTCTGTGAACAGCTGTATTTCTGTCTTTAAAACACCAGACTATGCAGTTCCAAGGAAAACTAAAATTCCTGTTTGGACAGAAGAAGAAGGCACCATCAGGAACAGCCCTGCCCCCTCGGCTCTCACTGTTTTGCATTGTGGTGCCAGTCCTGCCTTCTGTGACTGAGATGAAAATGAAAAGTGCATTCTTGAGGGCGAAGCACAGGGCAGACATTGTAGTTACAGTGGACTCAAGGTGAGCACGAATTGTCACACCATGACATTAAATTATGATAGCAAAATGTTGTTTGTTATTTCTATTTAGTTTTCTGTAACAAGTAATAAATATGCAGTCCGATATTTTAAAACCCTTACACAATGTATCTGACTACTATTAGGGACAAGTATCTTTTTCAAAATTGGTGCAAACTATAGCTCCACGCAGTTTCACTGCAACTATTCTAAATCCGCCCTTAATTTCTAGGCTCAGAGTAAGCCCCCAGAGAGAGGTCAAAGTGGTCCTGTCACCTTCTTGGGCCCTGCCTCCTCAGTTTGTTAGTGTTGGGCATAACATAGATAGATATTCAGTGGGCTCATCTAAGATTAGTGTCGGAACTGTACCAGCTTCCTAGGCCCTCATCTGGACAGTTCTGTGGCATTTTCCCAAATTTCAAGAGAACAAAACACTCCTAGTTTCCTGGGCCATATCTATGGTTGATTCATGGATCCGTTTCCAGGAGAGATTTAAAATGCAATGCTTATGAAGTTATTTTCTACCTGGTATAGTGATATGGGAGCATGTGGTCAGAGGGAACTGACAGGGATGCCTCCGTTCTGAATCTGATTTCTGTTGTACCACATTATTCTTGGAGAGACATGAACAAATGTCTACTCACCCGAGATAGTGAACTGAAGACAGACCAAAGTATGGATAGCACGAAGTCCAACTTGGTGAAGTAATGAGTTTTGTTAGGGTTACATATAGGAATGTGGGTGAGAGGTTACTTATAAGAGCAGAAATGACTCAAAGACATCATTAAAGTCCCATCCAGTGTGAGTGACAAATCATAAAATATGGAAATCTGGAGCATACTGTACAGCCTTCAAGCAGTTCAGTAGGTTGGAGAATGGTCTTTCCTAGGGACTCTTGATCTGAGCCTTTTCTAGGCAGCTCAGCTCCTTTGAGGGTCTTCTAGGCAGTTTGACTTGTGAGAGTCCCAGGAGTTTTTGCTGCTTATACACTCCTGGGAGTGATTCTGTTCAGTTTCAGGGACTTCCTGGAGCTATTTTGGGTTATTTACTTCGTGTCTTAATGATCTTCCCTGCAGGATGGAGTGTTTTACCTTCCTTAGGACATCTTATTGTTTTGGTTCACTTCCCTGTAAACTTTCTGACATTAAATACTTCTTTTACATCATATGTCTTCAGGAGTTTCTCTCTGAGAGGGAAGGTTTTAATATAGGAGGAAGCTACTACACAACAATCTCCCCCATACATTGAGAGCAACACTTTCTCTTGTTCCACTATAATAGCAGTAGTCAAAAGCCCTAATTCCCAGGCAATTGTAAGTTCTTTGGTGGCTAAAGCAGAACCAAGCTGCCCCCTCCCACCTCCAGAACATACTAAGGTCCTGGACCATGGCCGCATTAGCCAAGACAGCAGGCTTAGAATAAACAGTGAAAGTTGAGATGGGCTCTCCATCTATTTAAAACTGAAACAGGAGTTTCAGCTGTGATCCTGACCCTAATTCTAACCTGAGCCTATGCTTTTCTCATAGAGGCAGTTGTGAGCTCTTCTCTGGCCTTGGTTGCTGGAATAATGTTGGGGAGGGGTCCTCTAGGACCACCAATTTCTCATCAGTCTTGTCCCCCCCCCGCACAGTATAGCCTCGTGAGGGCAGCTAGATGCCTTATCAGGCCATTTCAGGAGGCAGTGCCCATTTTACTGGCCTCCCCATCCTGACCTGAGGATGTCAGACCCCAAGCATCCTGGAACAGTGCCATTATTGACCCCTCACAATCCATGGGTTACTCTGTGATCTCCCTTAGGTCATTGGCTGAAAGAAAGGGATCCTGTTTGCTCTGCTGCATCAGACCCCTTCTTTTATCCTTTGAGGCCTCTCTGCAGCAGCCAAGACTGAGTGACCACTCTGTGGCTTAGTCCTAGCCCATGGCCTTCGTCCCCTGTAATTGTCCTTGGAGAAGTCCCCTTGTTTGGCCTAAGTATCTGTCGCATTTCCATTTTGAAGGATGGTAAGCACCAGGCATCACCTAATTCATCACCTGAATGCAGGTCTGTTACCTGGCCCTCAAACAAGGCTGCACAAACCCACAGAGACACAGAGCTCACTCCCACATACATTACGCACATTTAGAAAATGCAGCTAGCAAATGTTTCTGGCAATTGTGAAAATCTTGCTCCTGTTGTTTCTCCCTTTCTTCCTCAGCTGAGCACCTTGGTATGTTCATCTTGCTCTTTGTCTTAGTTAGGTGTCTATCACTATGAAGAGACACCATGACCATGGCAACTCTTATAAAGAAAACACTTAATTGGTGTGACTCGCTTACAGTTTCAGAGTTTCAGTCCCTTATCATCATGGCAGGGAACATAGCAGTTTGCAGACAGATGTGGTGCTGGACCTGAGAGTCCTGTGTCTTGCAGGAAATCAACTGACACACTGGGTGGTATCTTGAGCATAGGAAAACTCAAAGTTCACCCCACAGTGACAGACTTCCTCCAATAAGGCCATAGCCACTTTAACAAAGTCACTTCTTCTAATAGTGCCCCCCACTGTAAGATTATGGGTGCCAGTTACTCCAAACTACCACACTCCTGCATCCTGCTTTTTATGTTTTCCAACCAAGACAACTTTCCTATGGATATATACAGTGGCAAAGGATATTCACAATAGATTCAGAAATACAGGTAGAATTCAGACAGTCATATATTTTAGCTGAGACATCTTCCTTTAGGAATACCGTCACCAGTGACCAGCTCCTCCTGTTATTTTCAGTGGCGATCTCTGCTGCTTGCTTTCATAGCTCTATGCAGCACTCTGCTCTCTAGTTTGTCTTTGTTTCATACCTGCATTTCTTCTTTCATCAGCATTAAAGCTTGTTCTTCAGATTTGAACCTGGACTGGATCTGAGTTCCCAGCCCCTGGAGGGGGGAGCTCAAGGACTCCACCACATTATATACCACCATTTGCACCTTCTCTGTCAGCTCCTTTGACCTCTCCTTGTGCCTCATCATTGCGGCAATTTCACAGTCACTAGGCTCTCGCTGCTCAGTCCCTAGTTCTCTACCACATATCAGATGGTGGGGGGCTCTTGCCTAGACATCCCCTGACGTCCACCTACCAAGTGACTATACTTTCATAAGAGCCAGTGTGGAGAGCCTGCCTTGTCTACCAGTCAATGTCAGCAACCACATAAGGCCAGCACCTGAGTCTGCATCTCTCCTATTGGGTTTGATTTCACCCTGCTACAGCATCTGTGACTCACCTCCACCTTCTGTAATATAAGGGGGCACAACAATGGTCACACAAAATTTTCCTTTCTGTGCTTTGATTTCCTAGATTTGTTGTTCTTACTTCTGTCCAGTGCCTACCTGGCACTGAAGCCAGAGTTGTTACCTCATGGTATTCTGGGTGCAGGGCATATGGAATTAGCCTCCAGGGATGAAAATAGCCTAGGAAGTTCCCAACATGAGCCAGCAAACCGAGAACAGTAGACTTCTAGAACATTCTAAAAATAAGTTTGTGTACTTTTTCATTTTTTTATTAAAGAAACAGCATATAAAATATAAGGGAAGAAAAGCAAGTCCAATGAGGAAAATACTTAAATTTCATGATCTAGCCAGAGCCCAATGACCTGCAGAACCTTGTAGTTTGCAGGGGCAGGCCCCACCTGTACAGAGGCAGGGGGAAAGGTCAGTGTATATCAACGCTGCTTTTGTTCAATGTCTGAGTTACCTGTTTTCAAAGAGTAATTTGGTTTGTTTTCATCAGAGATCCCCACAAATCTTCTCTTTTCTGAATGCTTTTATAGCCCCCAAACAAAGCTCTGGGAACACTAATACTGTGCTCAGAGCTGGGCCTGGAGAGAGACCTGGAACCCAAGCAAGAAAATGCAATTTCTGGTACCATTTCACTCTATCTTCTGTCCGTGGTGGACACAAGAGTGGGGACACAGGTCACCCCCTTTCCAGCAGACACCTAGATGGAGTTGTAGGATTTCTGAACACACAACCCTATAAGTAGGTGCCATCCTATGCAAACTGTTGAGACTCTTATGGAGAACCTGGCGTTCATGACTCTGCACCCCTCTGCTTTGACCTGAATTCAGCACTGCTGTCAGCAAGCACACCACAGTTCATTCTCTGCAGAGGCAGAGATGGTCGTGCCAGGCCCGGAGAGCTGGCTCTGGGAGCAGCTGTCTATTGCAGGAGCAGCTGCCATCTCTCACAGCTTTCTTCATAAGTGTTTGTGTTGACCATTCCTCTTTATTTCTTCAGCCTGCTGTGTTCTTTTACCTACCTGCTAAAATTTATTTCAGATCCCCAAATCAACCCTTGCCACAGTTTTATCAGTGTGTCCATGGATACAAAGTGGGAAAAAGATGATTCCTGGAGAGTACACATTCACAGCGTTTCCCCTGTAGGTCAGGCTTCCCTTTCTCTCTGTCTCTGCTCCTTACAGACCCCAGGTACAAAGAGCATAGAGCACTATAGAGTGAGTTCAGTAGATAGAGTTTGAGATCCTGCATGGTACCCAGCAGAGGGACATCATCAGAAAAAAAAAGCCTAAATTTCTCCTTCAAAAAGCAAAGTGGCTCTATCAGGACATCTCAAAATTATTCTAAATAGAATTTAAGGGTGAAATCCATGATTCCAGTAGCAAGACAGACTTGGCCATTCATCCAGATCTGTCCATTAGATAGACCAGTAGTGATGAAAATAGAGAAGGGAGACATCGATTATTGTACTTTGGAAACAGGAACATATGAAGGGCCCCATCTTTGGAACATTTACATAAGCTTTTGGCTAAAATAGGGGCATAACTGGGGTAAGGGTAAGGAATGCTTAATTAAGAAGTTACAGTCAAGAAATGGTAATCTGGTTAAACATTGTTTCAATTCTGGTTCTGCAAAGTGATCCAAAGAAGTCTTTATTGCTTGAGGAGATAAACTGGGTCTCAGGAGATGGTTATTATTTCTTCCAGCTGTAGCCCCACCATCACAGATAGCCTGTCTTAAGAGAACCCCTGTAGCTGGAATCTAATGTGTCTGCAGGTTTGGAGAAATGACTAAACACTTTTAGACACCTAAATATGAATATGAAACATAATGCTGTAAAAAGCTGACAATAAGACGCCTTCGTTATTCTTATTTTTGTGACTTAATCCTTGAAGACAAATGAGTTAGTGTGCTGAATAGTTTTATGTCAAGCAAAAGCTAGAGTCATCTGAAAAGGAGCAAACCTCAGCTGAGAAAATTCCTCCATGAAATCCAACTGTAGGGCATTTTCTTAACTAGTGATTGATAGAGGAGGGCCCAGCCCATTAGCTGTCCCTGGACTGGTGGTTGATCATTGGGTTCTATAGGAAAATAAGGTGAGCAAGTCATATGAGCAAGCCAGAAAGCAGCACTCCTCCATGGCCTCTGCATCAGCTCCTGCCTCCAGGTTCCTGCCCTGCTTGAGTCCCTGCCCTCACTGCTTTCAAAGATGAACTGTTATATGGAACTGTGAGTGAAAAAAACCCTTTCCTCCCCAAGGTACTTTCAATCCTGACACTTCATCACAGCAGTAATAACCAGAACTAAGACAGCTAGGATAGGTAGCCCTAGTTTCTAGATAGGTGTCCATGAACGATTAGTGTACCTGTGTACATAGATAAGCAGGTGACCTAAAGTAAAGGACACAGATGCAAAATAAAGGTAGAGATGCCAGACTTTTATCCTGATTTTAGATAATTTGTGAACCCAAGTGAAGAGTTTGGTTTTTTTTTTTTAAAAAAAAAAAACAGCTTCCAAGTTCATGTTATAACTCTTACTCCACCCTCACACAAAGTAGTGGCTTTGTGATCACCAATTCATTGTTCTGATGGTTGTATAGAATATAACTTCCTTGAGTCACAGGAATAAACTGTATTTTCATTCTGGACTTCTGGAGGGGAGGAAGTTACAATCTCTAAAAGCCACCTATGTGCCATTTGCCTCCTAAAGTAATTAATGTTTGTATTTGTATTGGCCCCCAAATGCAACATGCTTCAGAATCCTCAGGTAGCTGTAACCAAGAAAAATCTCTGCAATATAAAGATTAAAAGGTGTATATTATTTCTATCTTCTCTTGAGCAAGGAATAATACCTGTCTTGCTAATTTCTTTCATTGTCATATTATTATGACACAACATATTGTCATAATGTTAATATACATTAATGTTGTCATCTGATCTTTACAGGGCAAAAGCTGTTACAAGTCTGTGTGAATCAGAATCACATCCCAAACCCAGTTACTTAGCAGGTACTTCTAAAACTTCATTTTCTTATCTTTTCTCTATGGCAAGATGCTTTTGTCCCTGAGAGAGTTCCCCATGCCTACAGAACTCTGGAGATGCCAGGGCTAGCAGGGAGTATCACAGAGATAATTGTCTGGGGCTGTCACTCTGGTTCTGGTAACTGTTGAGAAAAAAACTGTCTCATTAGCCCTCATTGTGAAATCTTTCCCTCTCTAAATTCTAACAGGAAGGAGCAATGGAGAAAATGGCTTTTCACTGTTCAGGGGACAAACAGATAGGAGCCACTGGGCCCGGGCCCTAGCCAGGCCTTCATGTCTGTGCCTCAGGGGTGGTCCTGACCTCCTCCTTGACCCCAAGGGGGCTTCAGGGTAAGTGGTACCGGGCTGCACAGTCCTAGCCCCTAATTAAGCCACTGTGGCTATCAGAGTGAAAGGGATGGTATAGGCACGGAGAAGAAATAATTGCTATAGCCCTGACGTCTGTGTTTGTGGACATCCTCTCAGCCTGGGCAGCAAGCAATCAGGGGGAGTATGTTGGGCTCAGAAGTCCTTTCAGGTCACAGCCCTTGTCTCACCTGCCACCTGCCACATGCCCACACTCTTGCCCAATCCTGACCAGGACTCTGTATTAAACTGACTACTAGGTAGTACCTTCCTTATCTCTCTTCACACAGGTGCTAGTCCTGAAGCCACAAAGTGTCCTGTGGTCAACCACAGGATTGTTCTTTCAATTTGATAGTCCCTATAGTGTTATATTAGTCACGATCATACAACTGATGGAGGATACTCACCCATGCCCAGTGATGCCTCCCTGGACTAAGGAGAGCAGCATGCTGCCTGGGACCTAGGGACCAAGGAAGGCAAGATAGAGCAAGAAAGGGTCTTCATTGTTCCCTAGGACTGACAACAGGTGGTTGAAAAGGCCAATGTGATCTTGGAAGACTTGAAGCTTCCCTTGGGAGGTAACTGGTATCGTACTAAGTTGTCATCCTCTCATAGAAAGGCTGAGGCCCCTAAGGAGGTAAGAGTATCACTTCTGTTGCTATGTTCAATGGTTATCTTTTCTCTGAAGGGACAGGGAAGAAGAGGACCAGAAACACATACTAAGGAGATCCACTGGTGCCCGGGGGCAGAGGGAGATGCACAAGTACAATTATGGCTTGGAAACACCGATACATTTGAGGCACCTGAACTGGAGCACAGAACAGAGAAGTCAGGAGGTCACTACCAAGCTGACACGGCAGCCCAGTAAGAATGAGCCATCCACCTGTTCAATGCCCCATGGTTCCTGTATGCCCTACCCTGGAAGCCAGGGCATGTTCAGTACCGGCAATATGTCTTCTTTCAAAGATTCACCAGACTATCCCACTGGTGCCTACTGCAGTCAAATGAACAGACCCTTGCAAGATATCCACCAGGTACATCCTTCCACCTGTCATATCCCTCAGGGCAGCCTAGGATCCAGGATCCCTCTGCATGGAATGCGCTTCTCAGCCAGGGGTTTTTCTACTGAGGAAGCAAAATTGCACAGCCTGCCAGTCACCATGGACACCCCATGTAATCCAGTATTATCACTGGAAGTACCAATCAAGATGGAAAATGAATCTGGGTCCCAGAACATAGTTGATGTCAGCACAACTAGTCGGGTATGGTTGGGAGCTAGCGACATGGCCAGGAGACATCTGGTCAGTTTCCCTGCCAGGATGCACCTGAAAACAGAGCCTGACTATAGGCAGCAGGTCTGCACCCCACACCTTGGTCATGGTATGCTGGGAATGAACCCCCAAAGCAGAGATACTGTGGGGTCCTGCAGGGAGCAGGCTCCTCTCCATCCTGCACATTGCACCTGCCTGGATCCAGAGTCTCTTCACCACCTCTTCACGCAGGGTCACAGTGAGAGCCAGCACCCCTCTTTGGGCCAAGACTGCAGAGCTCCTATTGTTAAGCGTGAGCCCCTGGACTCACCATCATGGGCTGGTCCTGGCCAAGTGACTGTGCCCAGGATGTTCCCTAAGGGTGCCTCTATAACTGTGATCCCACCCAAAGGCTCTGATGGGATTTTCCTACCCTAAAGCTGCGGTTCTGCTGGAATTTTCAGTCCTTGGATGACGGGATGTGATCAGAGATTCTTTTAGTGACACTCTTGACAGAACTCAATGAGTGAGGTTGAGACTCCCTGTGTGAAGCTGAGTAGTCGAGTATCCTGAATCATATAGAACATCAGAGGATTCTCATAAATAAACCTAAGTCTGTTCAAGTGGACAGTATTGCTCTTTGAAATTAATGTGCTTATGAAAGTAGTCAATAGTATTTTATGGTGGGCAACCCTCAAATGATGTGTCAAAGTGATGTGCCCCTGGTACCCAGTCTTGCTACATCTCCTGCTTGCAAGAGAAGTTCTGAGGCTTCTGAGGAGATCCGAAGCCACACTTTGCATAGTGGTGGTCAGGGAAACATCCCATCCCATTTGGTATTTTCTGTGAATTTCTAAATATGATTTATGTACCCGTATCCCTGTGCACATCACATGGTGGAGGTTATAGTGTCCAGGCCAGAAATCAGGGAAGCACAACATACAAAAAAATGGGTGAAGCCACACTGATGAGGATGAATTGTCCCTGGCTATTTTCTATAGAGCTTTCTGGTAAGGGCAACAGTTCCTAGCTCAGAGAGACTTGGCGACAGGAAGGCAGCCAGTATTTGTTCTGAATTGCAAAGGCAATGTATTCTTATTGTAGGATATGTGGATATTAAATATGAAACAGAAAGAAAGGGTTACCACGAACCATTGGCAAAGTGACTTATGGCTGTAGAGCAGTTGAGAGTGTTCTAGGGAAGGGCTCAGACCAAAAATCCTGCTCCATTAGCACAGAGGCCACTGAAAAGGAAAATGTCTGCTGTGCTCTGCCTACCTCTATGATACAGATAGTCTTTATCGGGGATGAGCATCCACCTCTGATGTCACTTCCCCTGATGTCTTAGGAATGCTTGCTAAGGAGCTTGCTGGAGCTCATGGCTAATTCTACTAGGTACTCTCTTCAATACAGAAATATTCAATACAGGAATATTTCTTTCCTTTACCTATGGCCCCAGGAAATCACTGCTCAGCTACTGGCTTGGTGAAGCTGTCTGAAGAATGCCTATCACCTTTTTCAGAATCTGGTTGGCTGGGCAGAGCCAGGTTTTCTGCTCAGCTTTTGAGATGTCTGGCTCTCAAGAGGACTCACCGTGGGACAGGGATACACCTGAAGATCTAGAACTGAGAATACCCACTATGAGAGCCTGGGAACTTGTTTTCTCTCTGTCCCCCAATCCACAGAGGCTTTTCAAAGGGCAAGGCAGGAGCTGTGCTGTCACAGATGTGAGGCTTGCTCATAACATCCCATCAGCTTCTCCATTACCTAAAGCCTGAAGTGAGGATGGTGTCCCAGCTCTGCACCTTGTGCCCAACCACCTATCTCCCTCCTTTCTCCAAACTGTCTTAGTCCCACTTTACACATTTCTGACAAGCATAGCTTACCTGTGGGTCCTAATGAATAACAACAGGTAGAATTTGAGTCTTCCTCAACACTTCCTGTTCTAACCACATGCCCAACACCCAAGGACAGAATATGCTTAAACCCCTCAAGTGTCTGACATTCTAGTATTTCTCTCTGAAACTGATTAGTTATGTTCCTATCCTCAGCCAGACTCAGCATCCTATATGCTTACTATACAAGAAACAGAGAACAGAGTAAACTGCTGTGCTCCAATGTATACAACATATCCAAGGCATACTGGAGCCAGTGGAAGAAACCTTGGAAAAGAGGCCGAGAAGAGGGAATTCAGAAACATATTTAGGAATGGTGGTGTGTATTACAGCACTCAAGAGATTGAAGCCTATATGAGACTCTTCTCAAAATAAAATAAAATGCATTATTATATATTTATCAGTCTTAGCTGGATCCCCATCCCCTAGCTATGTAATCAAAGAAGATCCCCCAGATCCTGTATGCTCTCTGTTCAGATACTCTGAACCTTTCAGAAACCTCATCTGCATCACTGCTGGGATGAGTTTACCAAGCATGAAGTGTGGGCAGCTCAATTTGGACCTGCAGGTCAGGCTTTGTGTACACTGAGTTCTTGACTTGGATATCAGTTCTGCAGATTTTGTGTATGTGAGACACCACATCACATGGCAAGCTTGGATACCTGGTGCCAACACTGTCCAAGGAAGCTCAAAGCTCCCACATCTGCACTTTTGTTGCTCCTTCATTACAAGTGCCTGGTCAACTTGTACAGGAGGTGCACAGAGGTTACTCCTGCTTTATGATTTCAACATCTACACTAAGCACAGGCTCACACTTTTTGTGATATATAACTTTTGCCTATGTGGCTAAAAATATCAAAATCAAATATAGTGAGAGATGGGCTAAGAAGTAATATAAATACATATTTATATTTGCTGTTTCTACTAGAAAAAATCCTCAAGATCTAGACTGGCCCAACAAACTTTAAACAGATACACTACAATGCAGCTTTCTGTGCTGTTTTCTCAGTGCTCTGTTTTAACAGAGAATGCAAATGCATTTCTTATACTGTAGTCTGTACTAAATTTGCAAAACTTCTGCAAAATAAACCTCATGTTTCTATGTATTTAGTGTAAGATTGTGTGTCTTTTCCTTCAGAGAGTGTTTTGGATTTACATTCTAGGACAGCAGAAGAGAATAATAAATGTAAGATTAGAAAGGCTGGAAATGAAAACTGGGGTTGGGCTCTCTCATTGAGGGTTGGGACCTTCGTGTGCTCTCAGGACACCCCATCCTCACACTGCCTGTGAAGAGTGAGGACGGCATGACAGAGGCCTGTTGACATCCAAGGATATTTTTATCCTGCAACAGTTACCACATTTTAATCCTTTTTGTTTATATCTTATGCATTTTGTATCTTCACAACCATCTCTGTCTGTGACTTTTGACAAAACCTGGACAATTTGATGCTAATCTCACCACACACAAAACTTCCTCCACTACTAGCCCTTTTGTTTTCTTGTGTTTTAAATTTTCTTTAATTACAGTCTTGCCACATTTAATCCATTTACTTGTGCTCATTTGAGCACATTTATATTTCCCATTCTGTTTTCAATTATGTTTGATCAAGTCTTTCTTTTCCCATGTTCTCTGCTTGCTGGAATACTCTGTTCTCCCCCTTCCTTCTCTCCTTCCTACTTGATTGGATGTTACAATTCTATATATCCTTGACACATATTTGATAACATCTAATCTGTAGCTAAGCAAGAGTTCTATCCTCTGAGAACAAGAAGAGATCTTGGGCAACATCATAATTTGTTTCTGTTGAGATTGAGGGGACCCAAAGACCCTCTCTGGATTTTCTTTGCCAACAACTGAGTCTCAGTACTACTCTTCAGGCTGATAAGGAGGTATTTGTCCCAAGTGAATGTCTTTCGCAGCCTACCCTACTCTAGGGCCCAGAACAGCTATGCAACCTTCTAGCCATCCCTAGGATAAACTGTTTCTGGAAACATTCTTTCACCAAGGAAGCTCTGAGCCAATTATCTGGGTTTCCAGAAGGAATCTCCATTTGCTCTCCACCTACTTAGAGCCTGTACCTCCTCCCTTGCTCTGGGTGAGTGTAAAGTGGGTTCTGGGCTACTCATTTTCCTGCTTCAGAGAAGCATAACGTTCAGTCACTGCTTGTTTATTTCCCTAGTTTGGCCCTGGTTACTCCTATGCCTGCCTAGAAATACACCTATACATTCAAAAGAATGCTTAGTATATTCATCCAGTGATCCCAAGTGTTACTTGAGCTTTGTCACCATGTGGCTAGCCAAAAATAGAAATCAAGAAAGATTCTTAAATTTTGTTTTAGTTGTAAGAAAACAGAAGTTGAGTTCTTTACTGAAGCACTTCACTTCTAACTAGGCCAGTTAACTGAATCTGTTAGGGAGCATCATGACTAAACTCTCCAACACATAGTAGGCAGTAGTAGATTAGGCATTAGATATAAGGTAGCCAAGAAAAACTACAGCTTTGTCTTGGTATCTGTGCCCACTGACTTTGCAGTTAAACATTCGCGAAGCTAAAGTTCTTCCTGCTATATCATAAACTAGGGGACCAGAGCACTTTCCCAATTGCAGCTCGTGCACTAAGGGAGGGTCTGCATCTTCAAAAACTGACTTCATTATATCATTTGCATTGTAGTTATGAAAGATTACCCACATTGTTCCTTCCTTTACTGAAAATCTGCCCTATCATGCTCTTGTTTGGGAGATCCAGATTTTGTAGTGATGTTATGGGTAGGTGTGCTACTCAACAAGAGTGTATGAAGAAAAGGTGAAAAACTGAGAACCGTTAGGGCAGAGTTGTCAAACCTGATGGATTAGTAGAACTTAAACCTGACAAAATTTACTAAAAGTTCACACCAGTGTGGAAAAAGTCTCTGTGTCTGTAGAGGTGGGGAAACTTGTAGAAACTTTCAGGCTGTTCCTAGTTGTCAAAGCAATTTGATGTTTCCTTGCTTCCTTCAGCTCAAATTCCACCAGCTGTTTTTCGCTTGTGTTTTTGTTTTCTTTGTAGCTTCTATGGGCCATGTTAACAGCTATCAGCAGGACCCCACTCTCTGTTCCTCTATTGTCTACCAGCTGTCAGAAACCTCTGGGGGACAGGTGAGAACAAGGACAGCAGGAAAAACAATTATACGAAGTACAAGTAATGCAACTTTGAACACACAAGACAGTAAAGAGATGGAGAGGTGTGGAGAGGCCGAGGCGGCTAAGGAGAGGAAGTGAGCAAGACATGAAGTGAATCCTGAGAAAAGGAGCAGGTACAGCAGGTGCTGCATCAGAAGAGAGGGGCGGGAAACGGCCAAACGCCAGAGAGCTGAGCCACGCCAGGATCCGCAATCCCTGGTAATTCTGTGTCACAAGGGGCAGGACAAACTGCCAAGGAGACTACCGAAGAATTTTCCGCACAGCGGTAGCCTTCAGGACCAGGTTGCCCTACTCCCGTCCTTCCGCCCCAACTCCGGAAACGGAAGTGACCACGCTGCACACTTCCGGTCTGGCTCCGGGAAGTGGAAGGAGCTTCGCGCACGGTGAGGAGCCTCAGTTCTGACGACTGGGTCGTCGGGCTGTGGGCGGGGCGCTGCGACCTGGCACTGCGTACCCCTTAGCGGGTTTGTACCTTGGCGAGGGACCACACTGGCCGACGTTTTTAGGGGCCTTTGGTGCGGGCGCCCTGGGCGGGTTGGGGTTTGTCCTTGAC